AACACAAGTAAAGCTTTTTTTTTATCTTAAAATATTGTCCACCTTTTTGTATATATAGACACTGCAATTTGGTCTCCAATTTTTTTAACCATCTGAGTAAAGTTTGTTGAAGAATTTTGGTTACGGTAAATATCTTCTTCGAATCTTTCGGTATTTTTTATCATTATTTTGATTAGTGTATCATTACCTAGCACATCTTCTTTCGAATATCTTGATTAAAGCAGGTAAGTTCTAGGATAATATGTGAAAACGTGTGGTAGGATATTTTTTTAGGTTTTATTTTTCGCTCTTCTCATTTCCTGAATATATTGTTTTTGTTATTTCTATTCCGTTCTTAACTAATTACAGAGGGTCTGTTTTTGCAAAGAGAGTCTTTTTTTAATCCTAAAATCTTAATCTTTAAGGAATGTGTCACTGGATTCGATTCTATTATACGTATTAGTTTTGCGAGGTAAAAAATAAGTATTCGTATAACATATGTCATCCTTGCGTCCAGAGCAATCAAATATCAATAACTGAATTTTAAATCAATAATTTTAAAGACAAAGATTTTGAATTAAAATCAATTATTTAAAAGACAACGATTTAAGATTTAAAAAACAATTATAACAGAACATTCTGTATATTACAATAATTTAATTTTGGATGTAACACGTCTTCTGATTGGCTGACGTTGTTTTGTTTATCAGCTCATAGACATAATTTTGTCATGTGACCGTGACGTCATCAACGTTTTTTCATGGTTTACTCCAGTTTAAAATGGAATTTAGAATTAAATTATAAGAAATGACTGTAATATTTTTTCTGTCTATTCGAAATAACATAAAAAATGTGGTGCACACTTTAAAATAACACGCTACGCTGGTTATTCAGTGTGCACCACATTTTTGATGTTATTTCTTCATAGACAGGAAAAATATTACAGTCATTCCTTAAATTAAATAACGCATTGCTGACGGGGTTATGGTTAACAATGTACTGCATCACCCTCTCAGCTATATGTTATTGTTCGAGTTCGTTAACTAAGGATAAATGTCGGTTCCTAGTTTTCCATTGACTTTCATAATAAGAATATTAAAAAAACGGAAGTTGGTGTGGACATTGTCACAAGAATTTTTTTTATGAATGTTATTTATCAACTTATGAATATGTACAAGTCCACTGTGTATCATCGCCACCGGAAATTGGGTACCACCGAAGCGGAGAGAAAGAAATAAAAAAAATAAACAAGTTAAGATTTTCTTTTATTTAAATCATTTCTATCGATTTGATAAGGTTAATGCTTATGAAATGATTTTCTTATATATAGTGCTTTAATTTTTTATGCCAACAAGTACCAAACAAAGAAAAGATTTTGTGTTATACTCTAAAATGGTGCACTTGGTACCTGAAAATTCCAGGTCAATCGTCCTATGTCGCCCCTCTGGCCAGATATTCAACTGTTTTTCAATCTTTTTCCAGACAAATGTTAAGATTAGGAAAGTGGGACTTCATATTTCTTACATTATCTACCAAAAAGATGTTTTCTAAAGAATATTGATCAAAACATCTTTTGTTTATTGTACGGCGAGTTGCAGAATAACAACTTGTGTCTGTAAGCCGTCTTGCAGTATACAGCAATGTAAAGATGAGATTAATCACTATTGTGAATAATAATGACAAGGGGCGAAATAACTTGTAAATATCAATGCATTAGCAGCTTTCCAATATACAAAATACATTATAGAGCTAATATCAAAGAATATATGGTCTCCTATCTGTAATCTGCAATCACAGGCGATATTCTACTTCTAAATTTCTTGAAAGTATTATTTGTTTTACAGGGGAATAAAACAAATCGTTGTTTCCATTGAAAATAAGAGGGAAATAGTTACAACATTGCGTTTCAACCTAATTTTCTTGTTTCTGTATGTTATTGAAAAAGCTGGGTTTTTTTTTTTTTTATAAAAGTCGGAAAAAATAGTGTCCCGAGAGAAAAACCAGGACCCCTCAAAGATAAATGGTCGGCGCCTAAAATAATTCTATAAAAAATATTTCCTGAAAGGACGTCGACCTATAGGATTATATTATTGTGTAGGACGTTAAATACCCAAGCTACTACCACTACAACAAACTATAAATGTTTGGTAATCGAGGACAAATAGTCAAAGGTAGCATACATTTTACCAAGATCCACAAATAAATTACAAGTCTGTTGTTGCCTGACTTCGCTTTTTGTAGTAATTTCATGAATAACAAGTTTGATATTTATAAATTTTACTATGATATTGTGTCAATAATTCTATACAAGTAAAACTTGCACTTGTTTTAACATCATCTGGTTATTTTGTTTTTTAGAAGTGTGAATTTATAGTGATATCAAATCAACATTTAGCCTTCAAATATATGAAAATGGTCGAATGTTTTGCGAGATGTTAAATCATTCATCCTTGCTATCATACGTTATAAGGACAAATCTGCAGAAACCAAAACACGCCTAAATGTGAAAGGTGTACCCGATTTACTCTTTCACGATAAGAATTTACCCTTTTCAATATTTTAACAAAACTGTTTCCAAGGGCAGAGATCTAAATTAAAGTAGCATCCCAGTATCTCAATGGAAATTAGATGTGCTAATGCTTATACAACTGCATACCATAAAAATACATAATAAGCGGTGACCTATGGCAAGCCGTTTCACTATTTATTCTAACTTCAAGATATCTCATATAATATATAAGATATCTCATATAATCTAGTTTTTATAAGATATCTTATCTTAAGAGTAAAACGGCTTGCAATAGTTACCCTTGAATTGACCATATCACAAACTTTAACAAGTTCCAAAGTCAATAGTCCATGACTGAGGGGGTGAGGTCCAGGATATAATCTCCATAGAAGTGAAATGTGCTAATGCTAATGCAACTGCATACCAAATATCACTGACTTACGATTAGTGGTTCATCTTAAACTGACATAATCATGAAACTTTTAAACAAATCAAAAGTTTCAAAGTCAATCGACAATGACTGAGGGGGCGGGGCAAAAAAAAAATCCATATTATTGACTAGCGATTCGGTTCCCCTTTAAATGACGATATCTTAAACTTTAACAAGTTGTTGGCGCCGCCACCGACGATGTCCGCAACAGCAAGTCAAAGTCTCGCCTCTGCCACTTTATCGTGGCGAGACTTAAAAAAAAAACTCAAGTAAGTGAAACAGTGACATGCCTTTCCGAAGGTTAAAACATTTGTCAGCTGTTATAGGTATCGTACTCAAAATTTTAACGCTTAATTTACATCTTTTAATTAGAAATAGTTTGTGATTCAGAGAAAAGATACAATGATTATTCATTTGTTCAATGTTTAATGACTACATTACATTGCATCTCATATCTGACGTGACCTCGGATATATAGATGCAATGTATTCTATATAAAAAAAATTGATATGAACAATTAGTGATAATTCAAAGGTTTTTATTTATGGACACTTCATGGAATATTTTTCATGCTTAGTACGGGTAAAATATTGACATGAACTGTATACACCTGGAAAAATATGTATCACGATTTTCTGTATGCTGCTAGAGATCTAATATGACTGTGTGGCTTTATATTATGAATCTACAATTCCGTTAAGCGAATTGTATTTTTATCACAAAGTCATGTTTGATTAGGTTTTTGGACTTATAACACTGTTTAGTGAAAAGGACGTCATATACAAATTATATTATAGGTCATACTGTTATTAAACGGAGAAAACCCAAACTTTAAACGGAACGAAATGTGTAGATTTACTTGTGCATCTGAAATCCAATCTATGAATATTTTCTGTAATGGTTGTCACAAAAATTACATAGGCACACAGAACAGCAATTATGCAAGAGAACGACATCACTTGAAAAACTCGGAGCTTTAAACATAAACTAAACCAAAATATGGTATATTCGATTTCTAGGACAACAGGACGTGGATTTTTTAAAACGAACACCTAAACATCTAAACCGCTTTTGCGGATTTATGAAATTCAAATGTTTGATTTACCAGCATTTAGGTAAAACACAAATACAATATTAGATTTATTAAACTACAAATTACTTGATGATCTACATTTAAAACCAATGGTAGAATTAAAAAGTTATCGTGCAAACGGGGTCAAATACTGAGTGTACACAACAGCGTTTTATCACCATAGGTTCTTTGTGTCGACAAAACTGATGACCCGGCCAAAAAGGGCATTTTTTAAAATTTAAATGAAATTAACCTTTTTATAATTTTAATGCGTCCGAATCTCTTTTCGGATTTACCTTCACAAGGAACATCCAAATCAAAACATTAGAAAACCAGGGATGTATGTATGAAAACGTAGAAGCGTTGAGAGCTATATGATCGAAAGGGCCAACTTTATCTAGGGTCAACTCTGTCTGAAGGAGTTATTAGCAGAGGTATTGATTATATCAATCTATATAATATTTTTATTGAAACTACCGTTTGAAACAGTATACCTCCCAATTTTGATAACACAGAAACAACTATGATCAACTATGTATGTTATTATACGTTTAAACAACGTTAAACTATTATAGCAACATCAAACGTCAGTATAGAAGATAATGCTACTTCAACATCAGACTGTGAAACATTGAAGTGTATATATGATTCCTACGGCTTTTTGAATACAGGGAATTCAAAATCTTTTCAAACCGAGAGGTTGTAAACTTTCTGAAAAATGACAAAAGTATTGCCTCCATCGAAAATAAATAGGAAAAAGTGTCATTAGGTCATAAAAGATGCTCTTCCATACTATTGCACACACAAAATATCGTTTGAAAAAAGTGTTCGTAAACAATAAAATAATTAGTGAACAAATGGCCGGTAAGATATGTAAATGCGGGCTGTCAAACAGAAAATAGCCAAACAGATATTAATTTAAATTATGTTCCTGAAATTGAAGTTGCTTTATTTTTTGTACATATCTATAGAATCATGTAATGAATGTTTGTCATATTTTACATTTGCAGTTTGTGATGTGAACTATTTTACCTATGATGAACCAGAATTGTTGAACACTAATGCAGATAAAGCAACATCAGGTAAGAAAAAAATCTTTATTCATTTTTGAGTTTTTTTTTGTATCAAAATTTCATGATTCTAATAATTGTTAAAAAAAAAGAGATAAAGTTAAATGAAATAGTTCTCGAGAAATTGGTTGTCATAATATATTTAACATTTTGAACTTCAATATAGTAATATACATATTTCAGGTAAAATAACCATACTAATGGATTCGGCTTGGGAAATAACATGTTGTGGAGTGGTTACATCGTGGATCTTTTATGTCAAAGCCAGCGGAACACTAAAGATCGGAGTATTACGACCTACAGATACCAATACTTACAGAGTTATAGGGTTCATTTCAATAATTATTCCAGGTATATGAATGCTTTTGTTGGTTTTTTTATTTTTTGGAAAAATGACCCAATTTCTTTCTAATATATAGATTGTTGATTATATGATTTGTTAAACGTGCTCGTCCTAAGTGACCTTAGGGTCATCAAATGGATAGTGTATAGACGGGAAATTATGGGTTGACTTCGATGGAATCAAAGCAAGTCTTAAGGGTAGTTAGTATGTAGGTCCTTCTATTTCAATAATTTAGAACAACTCAGACTGCAATAGCACTGGTTCGAGCCGAATCTATTAACTTAAGACTCGTCATCCTAATACACCTTAAACTGTCTTTTATCCATCTTTGACGTTACAGTGTTTATCGGATGCTTTATGCATAAATATACTGCATATATGTATATTGTTCTTATGTTCTCTGTAATAAGTTTTTTTGTTGGGGAATGTATAAATTCGGGTGTTTTTGCACTGTTTGTTCAGTTCTAATTCGAGTGTTTTCACACTGTTTGTTCTGTTCCGAGACTACATATTGTGTTATAGTATCAGTGTTGTTACTTACTCACATTAAAGTTCAATTAACAAATGTAGCCTTTAAAACGCATGATTGAAAATGCAAAGTAACTGTTCACATCGAAAAAAAAAGTTGTATAAGAACATTTAATGTACCTTTTTAATCTAATTTGTCAATTTAATTATTTTAAGGTCATCAAATAGACTATAATTTTTTTAGATATATAAAAAGCATGTTTTTTTTTAATCAATGTAATTTTTCAGCATATCTAAGTTGGCTTGCACTTGATTTAAATCATTTTGAAAGAGAAGGTTGAAAATTCTGAAATTGTTTAATTGCGTTTAAACTTCAATCATTGTTATTGCTGATGTTGTTGTTTAATGTTTTAATTGTTATTGTGGGGAATGTTTAGTTCTACAATCTTCATCCTGCAAACAGATTTATATCGATTTTTTTTTTAAAGAAGATGAATTTCTTTGACAGAATTTTTCAAATAACAAACTAAAATATCTCTATATTCATTTTAAATTTAATAATTTCTTTCTTTTTATAGGGTATAAAATTTCCAGTGAAGGTATTTTGTATTGGAACCTCATTCAAAACGAGTTTAAAGGCTATGCGATAGTATACCTTTCCATTACGTTCCCTCGTGGTCAAATGAAAATGACAAAATATGAAAATAGATAAAATGAGATTATCGTTTATATAAAATGCCTTCAAAGAATAAAAAGAAAATTTTGATTCCTTTAGTATTTTTCTTGCTATATACCAAAATAGAAAAAATCCTCTGCATTCATTTATAAGTTATCTCCGCGTATTTAGCAAGTTAAAAATACATTTTCTATATTTGTAAAAACAGTTGTCATCTAAAGATAAAATAAAAAAAGTTTTTTAGTCGAATGAAAAGTCTGACAAATGAATTGCATTTTTCCTTCATTAGATTTTTTTTATTTCATTATCCGATTCGATCATTTTTCATAATCATCAGATTTAAAAGCGTCATTTAATTTTGTAGACACTTACGTAGATACCTTGGTTACTTATGATAATGCTGCCGACGAAAATATTGCAATCAAAGAGGGAGATAAAATTGCATGGTATGTAACCTATGAAAAAGAGGGGTGATAAGAAGCTAAAGTTCCATAGTATAGTTATAGTACATGACGATATTCTAAATGAGGATGTCTTATATACACACACATTTTAAGGATGATATAATTGTGAAAGTTCATTATTAACCCATTGCTCTGACTATTGAATATATTGTTTATCTATTTTCTGTTAATTGTATATCTGTTGTATGTTAACTCAGTTCAGGCTGTACTGTTATGAATAAATATTCTTTAAAAACGTTTAAGGAGTTTCCTAAGGAGCAGATTATTTCATGATTGGTGATACAGAATAATCGCATGATAGAGGCCTCCAAAAAAGGCGACACAACTTGCTCTAAACTTGAGTATCGTAAATATAACGTTTCTTATAAGACAGAACATGTTATATGTCTCACGTTTGAATTATATCCCGTTTACACTGAAAAACACTGAAAAGGCCGACCGTTTACACTGAAAAGACCGACAGTTTACACTGAAAAAGACTGACCGTTTACACTGAAAAGACCGACCAAATGAGATCAAAATGGTATTTACTTCAGTAGAAGTATTTAATTATCATATATATAAGCTTAAAATATTTACAAAGGTTAAAGTATTTTATGAAATTCAACACAAAGTGTGGCACAATTCATATCACGGCATTGAACAATTAAACAGATGTAGTACACTTTTTAAAAATGTATTTTTTTACTCTATAGGTATTCATCTGGTGCCAACATAATATCGTATGAGACATGTACAGTCAGTGCACGTAGTGACTGTCCACAGTCAACAATACAAATTACGTCTTCGGGAGAATTGGAAGCTGGTGAAACGATCGACATTTCTTCTGTGTCCACTATCGCTGATAAAGCATGGGCTCTAAAATTTACAACGAAAAATAGCAAGTATATTTTAAGAAGCGTGTTTTAAATCAAGGAAGATTCATAAATGAAGCAAAACATGAAGTAAGCTAGTTTACTTGATTCGTTCATTTACAAGCATAACAACGAGTGACAACAGTTGAGGGTCTCATGATTGCTTCGCATCACGACACAAAGCTGTTATATTTATAAAATAAACATGCCATCTTCAAATTATTACGTAACAAAAGTTAATTCTGATTGTTTTCTGGTGATGTTGTTTAAGGAGTTTCCTAAGGAGCATGGTATATATCATATAGATTCTATTTGCTTAGATGGGTTATAGATTAAGAAATGTCTCACGGATAGAAGAAAAATGTATACGGAAGATGAGGGGCGTAAATGGGGGGGGGGGGGGGGGGGGGTACATGTATATGCACGGAAGAACGCGAAGATCAGAATCTGATTTGAATAAATTAACACTATGGGCATTCGTGACCCAATCGATGAATTATGTAGCTAAAGGATAGCGTCAGATAAACATTGTTGGATAAGCGCACAATTGGGGTCTCTTTTTTCATAAAGTTATATACACAAGCATGCCGCTGGTATGGGAACTTTTTTAGAATGTTAGATATATCATTGGGGTAAAATTTTACTGAGGTAATATAACAAATGGATAGAAATATATATGTCAATGTCAATGGGTCATACATATTCATCTTCCCTAAAGATATCTGTAAAAACTATATACTGGTCTTTTCAACTTATTATCTAGAAAGATAGCATGTCGTTAACATCTTATTAAGATGTATAGATTGTTTATCTGATAGCTTCGAAATATATAAATGGGTTATGATTTTCCAATGGAATATATAGATATATAGAATGATTACTCTAAATATCAGCACAACAATGCTAAATCTGCAAATTTGCGGAAGCAAATTTTTGTTTCTTCCCTCGTCGGGATTCGAACTCATGCTATTAAGATATCGAGACAACACCGCCTGCACTGTGTCCAGCGCTCTAGACCACTCGGCCAACAAGACTAAACTAAAAATTCAGCTTTCCTCGTCAGTGGAATCTAGAGTTGTAACACAATACATTATATATTAGGCATGAAGATGGTATTGATTGCAGATTAGCTAAATTATCTATCGTAAAGGATCGTATGATGCAGTCACAGAAATGATTATTTTGATAAGTACGTCTAAACAAGTTACAACTCTACGACAGATCCATCCATTGGATCACCAATGAAGGTGATACACGGCTGAAAACACATATTATATTCATAATTACTCTAAATATCTGGCACAACAATTTTAAATCTGCAAATTTGCGGAAGCAAATTTTTGTTCTTCCCTCGCCGGGATTTGAACTCATGCTATTGAGATATCGAGACAACACCGCCTACACTGTGTCCAGATATAAAGAATATATATAGAATATAAATACCCATATAGATGGGTAGGGATTTCGAATAAACCCCATGAATGAAGCTGGACATCTGTACCCAATTTTTCTTGTCTAATTCATATTTCAGAATGTACAGTATCGCGTGTCAGTCTAGTTATAACCTCTTATGATTTTTAGACCAAAGTAGTCAAACTTTATCTTTCTTTATCAAAGATCTGCAAAAAGAGTGTGCCCGTTCTAATCGTGGCGATGTCACCAGGCCTTAACATCGGTTGTATTAATCTGCAAATAGCTGGTAATTTTTATTGCAGACACTGAAATTATTATCAGGACGAATGAAAACGAAACAGAACTTGAAGAGAACACTGCAGTTGGTAAAGCAGCCATTTTTCTTACAATTGACGATCCTGATGCCTTCGAAGACTACGAATTTACAGTAACAGGGGATCTTACCCATTTGGAGTTAAACATTGAAACGAGTAAGCTTATTTAATATTCCTTTAGACGATATATTAGATACTGTTTGTCAGGCACTAAAACCTTAGCTACCTCAGGCAAAGTTATCGGAGGACGATTTTCTTTGAAAGTCTCGATTAAAATATCAATAAGACACAGAGAGATCACTATCCATCGTCAGGTGTTATAATTCTATAATTCGGACGCATGAAATTTATAACGTGCTGTTTTCATTTTTTATAGATTAATTAATCTAAGAATTCGGGTAAAGAAAACTAGCGACTGATTAAAACATGAATTTGTAGCGCACGAGTTACCTACAATTTATCACTATCGGGGTATTTTTTTTTTTTGATACTTTTGATTCAATTGACCATGGAATTTTTAATGGAAAATAATAAGTAAAATATGCAAGGAACTTAACTTCTTGACATCCATTGTTATCGAATTTTATTTACATGTGATTTTTTTTTTGTTTTATTGGGAAATTTCTCATTTAAATTTCAAAGTTGAAACCTAAATGGTCATCATGGAAATTTCTCATTTAAATTTCAAAGTTGAAACCTAAATGGTCATCATGGAAATTTTTACACAAACTTATACTCTACAACTACACATATTACTTGATTGGACTAAATTTTAGATTAAAATGTTATATGAACGCTATTCTAAAAAACATTTTGTGGAGTGTTAAGATATAAAAGCATCATTTTGTAGAACTGATTAATTTAATCTGTATTTCGCATAAATCGAAAAACAATATCATTGTATTACAATCGCAATTACAATTACATTCCATTCAAAACCTTGTAATGTAACAAAAGTCTTTACATATATATAATTTTCTTTTTTGTACTTTTCATTAAGTTTTGCTACACGTACATGAGTATTTTACGGTTTTTTTCTATGTTCCGAGCTTATTTCATTGTTTCAAATGATTGTATAATAATTTGATCATCATTGTCTGCTGAACCATAACAACGAATTGTTAGTTAGGTAAATTTTAACAGCCTTTTATGTTAACAGTGACCCTTGATTTAAAAGTGAAGTGGCCACCAGGTGGAGTGGATAAACCTCAAGTTGTGACAATAGTGGGTACTGATACATGTCAGCATACAGCTACTGTTACCCTTACTGTTAACTCTTATAACGAGGTTAGTAAACTTAGTAACGCGTGGATACTGATACATGTCAGCATACAGCTACTGTTACCCTTACTGTTAACTCTTATAACGAGGTTATTAAACTTAATAACGCGTGGATACTGATACATGTCAGCATACAGCTACTGTTACCCTTACTGTTAACTCTTATAACGAGGTTAGTAAACTTAGTAACGCGTGGATACTGATACATGTCAGCATACAGCTACTGTTACCCTTACTGTTAACTCTTATAACGAGGTTAGTAAACTTAGCAACGCGTGGGTACTGATGCATGTCAAACAGACATCTAATGTTACCCTTACTGTTAACTCTTATAACGAGGTTAGTAAACTTAGTAACGCGTGGATACTGATACATGTCAGCATACAGCTACTGTTACCCTTACTGTTAACTCTTATAACGAGGTTATTAAACTTAATAACGCGTGGATACTGATACATGTCAGCATACAGCTACTGTTACTCTACTGTTAACTCTTATAACGAGGTTAGTAAACTTAGTAACGCGTGGATACTGATACATGTCAGCATACAGCTACTGTTACCCTTACTGTTAACTCTTATAACGAGGTTAGTAAACTTAGCAACGCGTGGGTACTGATGCATGTCAAACAGACATCTAATGTTACCCTTACTGTTAACTCTTATAACGAGGTTAGTAAATTTAGTAACGCGTGGATACTGATACATGTCAAACAGACATCTAATGTTACCCTTACTGTTAACTCTTATAACGAGGTTAGTAAACTTAGTAACGCGTGGATACTGATACATGTCAGCATACAGCTACTGTTACCCTTACTGTTAACTCTTATAACGAGGTTAGTAAACTTAGTAACGCGTGGATACTGATACATGTCAAACATACATCTAATGTTACCCTTACTGTTAACTCTTATAACGAGGTTAGTAAACTTAGCAACGCGTGGATACTGATACATGTGAAACATACATCTAATGTTACCCTTACTGTTAACTCTTATAGCGAGGTTAGGAAACTTAGTAAAAAGTGTGTACTAATACTATTGATACATGTCCGCATACATCTAATGTTACCCTTACTGTTAACTCTTATAGCGAGGTTAGGAAACTTAGTAACGCGTGGATACTGATACATGCCAAACATACATCTAATGTTACCTTACTATTAACTCTTATAGCGAGGTTAGGAAACTTAGTAAATAGTGTGTACTAATACTATTGATACATGTCCGCATACATCTACTGCTACTCTTACTGTTTACTCTTATAACGAGGTTAGTAAAATTACTAACGATTGGGTACTGTTACACGTTAACATATATCTAGTGTTAGCTTTACTATTAACTCTTATAGCGAGATTAGTAAACTTAGTTACGCGCGAGCACTTATACATGTTAGCATACATCTACTGTTACACTTACTGTTAACTCTTATAAATGATGTTAGTAAAAAATGAAAACACGTTATAAATTTCATGCTTCCGAAACGCTTTTCTGGATTTAACTCTATCAGAAACGCTCAAAGTCGAATACTTGAAAGCCAAGAATGTATAATAACCTAAACAGTTGAAGAGATATATGACCCAAAAGGACCTAAAAAATTGCCAAATTTATCTAAGGTCAACTTTGAATGTGGGAGATGAAACCTTAGTTTCTTATAAATTCAAAATTTATTAACGGACAATTTTAGAAAGGTTTGTTATAAATCATTTCAGTACCGAAGCACTGACTGCTGAGCTGATAATACCCTCCTGGACTAATAGTCCACCAGCAGAGGTATCGACCCAGTGTAACAAAGTAACGCGTGATTACTGATATATGTCAACATACATCTACTGTTATTCATACTGTTAACGAAGTTAATAAAACATTTAATTATACTCATCTCCGTGTCTTTATGAGTAAGATCTTTTAACAATTTATTTAATTTTGAAAATTTCGTTCACGCTTTAAATTAGATTTCCCATGTAACAATAGAAATGCAATGGATCTTTTGAAAATTCTGCTATTTTCATACAATTATTCTACAATAGACGAAATAAAAATCATGTATTAAGGAAGGACCCTAAAATCTAAAAAGGAAACAATTTGAAATTTGAAAACATTGTCGTTTGTTAGTTTATTTTGTTTGTGCCAGTTCTACTTTACAAAATCCCTAACGGCACAAATTTGTTAAAATAGGGCACCAAGCAATTGCATTGTATTTCTGTACAAGTTTGTAATTTTTTTAAACGAAATATTATTTATACTAATAAATGTTTGATCGTTTTCAAAAATATATGTTAAAATATTTGAATTGTTGTCTGTGAACACATTCATATATTCATAGAGCTTAAGTCGTTTAATATAAAAAATAGATAGAAATAGAAACAGAAATTTCTTCTTGTCCTGCTCCAACTTGCTTTTCAATCTTAAATTCACAAATGAAGAAATTTGAATTTGACATAGTACATGTCTAATATCAAATGTTTCTAATATTCCGTCCTGTACATGTCATGCCACGACGAAGTCGTTTTGTCTTTTATTTATTAATTTTGAATGTCCCCCTTGTATCTTAAAATGTGTAGAAAAAAAGAATTCCATTTCATCATAAATTGTAACTACTACAATAATTGGCGAGCTCAATATTTCTAAAAATAATGACAATTTATATATTTTATCAAGAGATAAACAGTTGAAATATGTACTATTTCAGCATCAGAGAAAAAGCTTTCAGTAAGAAAAAATACTTTTTGTATGAAAATTTTCGAAAAAGATTTTTTTTATTTTGTAAGTTTTATAGTTAGTTAGTGAGTTAGTTAGTTAGTTAGATCGGTACTTAGCACTAAAACTAACAAAATATGAAAAACCACAAAGTACTAATTCAAGGATACTTACAGTTATTGAAGCAAGTTCAAAGCCAAATTTAACTAATAAAAATACCATAACTGTATGAAACTATCATTAATGTATCTTCAATTGATTTGGTGTAAAGGTGTTGAGACTGTTTTTAATTTCTTTTAGTCACCTTTCATTAACTTTTAATTTCTTTTAGCCACCTATCATTAACAACCTTCCGTTCATTACTGAAATTGTTGAGACGACCAAAACGGCACTTCCTCTGTTCAAAATTAATGTTACAGATGCCACCAAAGATGAAATATGCTGCACCATGCCGTTCACTTTACCTAATACGTTCAACTTTGAGCTGAAGAACACAACTGATGAATATGGTATGCTCCGTGTACAAATAATTAAAAAAAAAGGATTTATAATCATTTAGAAAAATACTAGACTTGTAAACATGGTAAAGTTTAGAAACATTAAAAATACTATTACTGTTTAAAGTTTGATTCTTATTATGAGATAGTTTTCATGAAACATTTTTTTTTTGATTTATTTCGAAAATAAAGAAACTGTCTCGAAACAAATATAATCTTGACAATACGAACTAAAAAAAAGTGTGCATGCTTTTTTAGTAACGGAGCAGCACATGTAATAAGATATAAAACTCATTACCATAAGAACCTTTAAAGAATGATTGAATAATTATTAGAGTTATAGTTTGATCTGTTGAAGCCTTTAACAAATCCGATGAGATCGGAGTAAGGATTAATCAATCAACTTAACCAAGACAAAGTTTTTTAATCTTGTATAAGCAAATATTTACACGAAAATAAGTAATATTATACATTCTACAAGATAATATGATTAGTCACCCCCCTATTTTTTGAGACGACCAAACTGTGACGGTTGTTCAACTGTTCTGTATTTACATTCAGAAACACGTGATGCAATATGCTGTCATATATAGATATAAGAAGATGTGGTATGAATGCCAATGAGACAACTCTCCATCCAAGTCAAAATTTATAAAAGTAAACCATTATAGGTCAAAGTACGGTCTTCAACACGGAGCCTTGGCTCACACCGAACAGTGAAGCTATAAAGGGCCCCAAAATTACTAGTGTAAAACCATTTAAACGGGAAAACCAACGGTCTAATCTATAAAAAAAAAACGAGAAACGAGAAACACTTATGAACAACATCAACAAACGACAACTACTGAACATCAGATTCCTGACTTAGGACAGGTGCAAACAAATGCAGCGGGTTTAAACGTTTTAATGGTACCAAACCTTCACCCTTTTTCTGAAACAATAGTGTAACATCACAACATAGAAAGACACACTATAAAATATCAACTGAAATAGCTTAACTCAATCAAAGGACATAATAACACCAGTGAACATACACTGAACAAATAATTTTGACCTATGATACAATGTAAATACAAAATAAATAAACTAAGGGAATAATAATAAAGGTAACATGTTATATCGGTATGAAATGTTAAACAATTTAAGAAAAACAATATGCTCGAACAAAAATATCAGCCATTTGCAATAACTTTAAACACAGGTAAATGAAAATAATTTTGTTGTTAGGTATACGTGTACAGTTCCAATAGAGAAAGGAAATATTTTTACAAAATAAATAATTTTGATGTTCATAGTACGAAGTGAAAATTTATAGTAGTACCAAACACTTATCAAAGCTGGTATATAGACCAGATATAACACTGAATAACATTAAATAACAAAAAAGCATTACAATTAGTATCAACAGATCAAATAAACAAGAAAGTACGATTTGAGAGTACTCGCAGTTACTGACAGCTAATTAAAAGCCAAAACAATTAATAATAAAAAATCATGCATCATATATGCCCAGTTTCCAAATACATTAGAATTGATTTCTATTTTGTGTCCTTGCAAATAAACCTAAAAACAATCACAGTGATTTGTATACCAAAGATGGCCTTACGTTACAATGAACCTTACTATATACCTTACAATTGTTGTGGTTGTCTATATATATATGATGGTTTTTTTTTAATATCATAGGAAATGTTACTGGCTTTTGGATATATACCATAGCAGAGCCAGCATTTGAGTACAGTGACATCGATTCGTATCGTGTGTTTGTGTGTTGTCAAGACCCCTATGGTTCGTCGTACAGTTATTTAATTCTAAGATTGACAGAAGTGAAAATCATCGAGCCATATGTTCCACCAGGTAAATATCGTCATGTTTATAACAAAGAACATATCTCGTATATATGTATGTTTTAAGTCTAAGTCAAATTAATGGCTTAAATTGCATTGTTTATCTACTTTCACCTAGTTTGAAAATCAATATTATAATTTTCATATAACTAAACGAAATTTTCAAAGAAGCTAAGTGGCGGGTTGTGGGTTTTAGTTTAACACAACCATCATAAATTAAAAAAATCGGCACTTTGAGGTCAACACACGGGTTTTAATATCAGACACGTTTCTATACCACAATTCTATATGGAAAATGTTTATTTAAAAACACAATAGTCACTATGTCGCAACAATGTTTTCCAAAAGTATTAATCATTTCTTTTTACTGAACATATTCCCATCCGATGCCAGGAACCTCGTCAGATAATTTATTTTGTCACTTACGGATTGAGAATTGATAGAAATATTTTTCACAGGACTCGGGACGATTAAGAGCTTGACAAATTGAATAGACATGTGCCTATAATTGTTAAAGAACGTATGTCGACATATAATAGATGTCATTCGGTGTTTTTTGTCATTGGGTTACATATATATTCCACGGCTCCTTTTAATCGTTTAAATTGAAATATGATTTGAAAATCGAAAATTATTATTAGTTACAATGTTCAGATTTAATCTCTGATATATGTTGTTTGTATCTTTCCAGATTGGTTTTTCCGAGCTCTGATTCTAAGTTTGACACCAATAGGTCTGATGACAGCGGTGTCCTGCTTTACGTTACTTTTTACAGTATTTTGGTTATAAAAATATTCTACAAACACTACTGTCTTTCTCAAAGATAAACTTTGTTCTTTTAAAACTATTTACTATATACAAACAGAAAGAAGAGTGAACACCATGCACATGAAATTTTTTTTGTACACTGATTGCTTTTGTTATATCCGAAAAAGACTGATAGCCGTCTGCGCTGCTTAAAAGATTTTTATTAAATATTATTAGAAATAACATAAGAAAATGTAAATACCGTCCAAACGAAAACATCCTAGACACTATGATATAATGCTTCCAAACATTTTATACATTTTACATTCATAAGAGAACTGTCGCAGTATTATGTCTTTAGTAAAGCGATCTCTTCAATACTCATCATTAATGCATTGCTCATACCCAGATTGAAAACACGACCATGAATTCATCTCATTCATTAAATTCGTAGACTACTGCTTCAAAAGGAGAAGGTATGACAAGGTAACTTTTTGTCCCCTTGAATTTGAAAATCAAAAAGTAACTTTGTTTCATATCTATTCTAAACAAAAACTATACGTTCATTGGCTTTATTATATCAATTATGTCAATTGTGACATGTTTATGACGAGTGAGATCACAAGTGACCTTTATGCACTAAAGTGTTCCATTATATCAAGCTGTTCATTTATCATTAAAATTAACATAATTCTGTTTAGTCTTGAATTATTATACTATTTTGCAATTTCATGGGCCAAATAATTGCTTTTATTAGACCTCCTCTTTTTGGTCAACTATATGAATTTGAACACTTTGTACTTCAACCATATTCATATAAACATTAATAAAATAGTTGCTTTTAAAATTTTGTTCACCGGCCTGAATGTAGTAATTTTTTTCTAGCTTTTGAACGGAACAAACAAAATAAAAGTATACTGGACAATATATCAGGAAAGAAAACCTACTGATTACTGATTAATTTTTTTTCTTTCGTCATATTGATCCAAGATTGATTTCGACCTTTTCACGCATTCTATTAATTTATCATTCCAAAACTTGATATTGTGAGTATATTTCAGTAAATTCAGACGATATATATGTTGTGTGCAAGTTGTAATGTTTGTCTGTCTTTTTTTCATGGTGTTATCAGTGTATTTTCGACTTGTGAGTTTGAATGTCCCTGTGGTATCTTTTGCCACTCTTATATGATTATAACTTGTACAGACTTTTTGTACAAGTTATCAGTATTGTGAAATATCTTTTCTTTCAATCAGTGATACGTGTATATGTTATCTGCAACAATTAACCGTACTGATGTTATATATAATATCATAACATAAGGAATTGTCCTCTTTGGTATAAACTTTCAAATGAGGATACCAGATTGGGTAAGATTCTGTTTATATTTATTCAGTGACACCAGATTCCAAATTATCTTACAATTTCATTAAAAATCACTTTATTACGGTGTAATGTAAATGGCTGTAGCATGAAGTCAAATAAGACAGTGAGATGCTAAATCAAAGAACATTTTGCTTATTTTAACCATTCATGTAAAGATGTTCGCAAAATACCAATAACTTGTACAAAAATTCTATACAATTTTAATAAGTACAACATTACAATTTGTACACAGCATATAGATCTGTATTTTTCTATAGTAAACCAGTAACTATTTGTTTACTTCGTTATAACTTAGTTTTTAATTAAAATTGAGATCCGATACTGGAAATATTCTTTTCATTTCAATACTTATAATGTTTAAAGTTCAATACAATATTCTCAGTCAATTATCAGAGAGCGTATTTAAATGAATATAGAAAACGATTCCAGCGCACATGGAGTTATAGCTTAAACGGACAATGGGCATTCTTGTATATTTGATTTGCATTTTGACCATTTGTCATTCATGTAGATCTTTATTAACAGGTAGGGGTTTTCATTTAATTTTTGTATTTATATAATCAGCTTGAGTTTCATTCATTATATTACACGTTAAAAAGACAAACTTTTTTGAAATCGTTATAATAATTCTTAAATATGTTATAAACGAATATTTGTGATCATGTATTATGGGACTTGTTAAAAAGAATCAAATCCGTCAAAGGAAATTTCAAGTTTCTTTATAGTATTTTTTATTAGCATTCTTTTAAACGCATTTAAGAAATCAATTCAAAAATATAATGAATTTGTTTTTACAGAATCGGAATTTCTTCATATGAATTTAACATTGGTGGATTTTGAAATTGGATATCATGTTGATTTTGATTGTTATACACTTTATCCTTTTCAAGAGAAGAATTTTTTTAATGAAAATCGTATTATCATAAATAATGTCGGTATATACGGTCGGATTACTATTTTGTTTGATGCTGATCCTAAATCTTCATATCAAATTCTTAACGAATGACTTTTCTAAGTTCTCAACAAATACACTACATTTCATAAATTGAGAAGTTTACAACACAAGAGGAAGAATGATAAGAGCCATTTTTGGCCTCAGAAATTGAAAAATAGTAAACCTATTCAATCCTTTCTTAAATATGCTAATTTGTATAGATACATGACATGACATGGAAATGTTAGTGACGAAAGATCACCTTTGATGTCACTTTGAGGTAACAAACGGCGATATTTACGTATTTGACCTTAAATGGCATTTTCATGAATAGTTATTGGTCAAAATATATATCAAATATTAAGGCGACAGAAGTTTAGCGTTGTTCAAATCTCCTAAATTATCTAGGGATAGACAAATCAAGGCAACAAACAGAAACTGAGGGAATCACATGAACTCCAAAAGGAGTGTGAACCGATGCGTTGAAAGGGTAAGCGTCTCCTGCTCTGCATGCATCACCCGCCATTCGAATTTATAATCAGTAAAAATTTCACAATCGGGAAAAGACACATTCGTAAAAATTACAGATCAGACGACTATACTGGTATATAAATTTCTAAGACCTCGAAAAAACATATTGCTTGTGAGTTGAGACACCGACACATCGTACAACTTCGACCAGTTCGTGATTTATGAAGTGCCGATTTCAGTCGTTCTGGCATATTTGAGCAAGAGCTTTACCCAAACAGATATTTTGAAATACATTTTGTAGCAAAACTCATCAAAGATACCAGGCTTCTAATTTGGTATACCAGGTCGCGTTTTGTCTACATTAGACACATTAATGGCACTCCAATCAAAACTGTTAAAAGGCAAAATAAATACGAAGTTGAAGAGCATTGAAAACCAAGCTACCCGAAAAGTTGTACCGAATAATATCAAATCGAGGCTATTTTCATGTTTTGCACTAATGACTTTTTCGTTTGAAGCCCTGTTGCCAATATGTCAGACAAAATTTCAAATTTTTGAATACTGATGCCCGAAAGAATGGTATTATATTTCAGATTTTATGATGCTTTGTTGATTTACATATTCAAGAGTCGGAAGTTCAACAGTGGCATTATCACACCTTCTCCTTTTATCCATTGACAGACGCAAATCAATGCTGATATAAAAAACATAATAGTCTCAATAAAACATAAAAGGGTATCACGTTTAACAAAACATATTGGACAGTTCATCAGATAACACCAAGAACCAATTAATTCCATGCTCTTTAATACAAACCGGATTTGTAAATAAAGGCATTTAAGTCAGGAATCTGATGTTCAGTAGTTGTCGTTTGTTGATGTGGTTCATAAGTGTTTCTCGTTTCTCGTTTCTTATATAGATTAGACATTTGGTTTTCCCGTTTGAATGGTTTTACACGAGTAATTTTTGGGGCCCTTTATGGCTTGCTGTTCGGTGTGAGCAAAGGCTCCGTGTTGAAGACCGTACTTTGACCTATAATGGTTTACTTTTATAAATGTTGGCTTGGATGGAAAGTTGTCTCATTGCACTCATACCACATCTTCTTATGTCTATTTAACAACGAACATTTAGTCAGATAGCCTGACTTGGTACTGGCACAAACATGTATTTGGACTAAACAAGTTTTACGTTCGTATAAACCTTTTCTAGACCATATGTCGTAAAATTAAAACTCTAAATAATAAAAACTACACACTCATATGTGTGTTATTAAATGATGTCTGTTTAGTCTCTTACTGATTGGCATTTGGAAGAAGGAAGTTTACGTATACGTACATTACCGAATGAATATGTTAGAAAAACATTCCTTCATGAACAATTTAAGAGTTCATATAAGCATTTGCATTCATCTCCAGTTTCCTCGTGTTGTTTTAAAGTCACCAAACTCATAAGTCGAAAATAAACTGACAATGCCATGGCAAAAGGATAAAAAGACCAAAAGACAAACAACAGAACACAAAAAAAAAATGAAAACTAAAGACTGAATATATCAAATCAGGTTATTTATTCAAACAGCTTCAATAAACATGTAAAGTTACAAATAAAAATACGTAAAGTACACTGTTGAGTGTATTAGTTGACAAGATTTCTCTCCCTTTTTTGATGAATTTCCTCTTGCAGTTTTACTTGAATTGACCAGAAAGGAGGGAGTTTTATTTTATCAAATTTAAAGTGAAGATCGAATTATTTCATAGCTGATGTTCTTTGTCACTTGGACAGATCGAAACCGAGAAGACATATCTTTTCGTGTAGAAAACCGACTTTGATTTAAGAGCATGGGGTAAATTCTTCCAAGAGATTAGTATTTCATTATGTTTTTGGGGTATTAACCAGTATGAAATTCAAACAACTGAAGAATACACATGTAAAAATTCGTGACCCCAGATGAAATGAGTTCAACATGTTCTTTGCATTATGGTGAAAAAAATATGAGTAATACGCATTAAACATAAACAACTCCCTGAATATAAAAATAATTTCAATCAATGTGAATTTGACGTCAAAATGAATATTCAGGCTTTGCTTACCAGGGCTATATAAATTTAAGGTTTTATTTGAAATTGTGCGGTCGACGCTTTTCTGTTATATGGGCTAACATAATTAAATGATTCACCTAATAGGTAAAGTTTAATCTGACTCAATTTTACAAACGTATATAAAAAAGTTGAAAGTACAATGCTATATTACCTTGGCCTAATGCGATATTCAAATATTCATGATAAAACAAGAGTTTTCATTACTTTTTAGATAGTGAATAAATAATTTATTAGGTAACTAACTGATAATTATAAATGTTCAAAAAGGATATAGATCATTTACACGATGTATGTCATTAAGAGTTCTAGCATAGCCAGTTTTAGTAGTCTTTATCATTAAATAAGCCATTTACTTATCCTCCAGGGAAATTATTAATTAAAGATTGTATTTCTCATAATATTGATATACTGTTCACGATTATACACTACATAATCAATAGTTAGTAATTAGATAACGTATCCCGTAGGAGTTTCCTAATTTCAATGCACTTATAATTTATAAATTCTTTTTTTTGTCAGAATATTATTAATGAAAAAATACTTTAAAATTAAAATAATTGATTAGAACTGCTGTAATGACGTTCAATAACTTGGACCAGTTTTCAAAATTGCTATGTATTTCAAAATCTAAAAACAACATGTATTCCATTCGTCACTTGAAGCTATAAAACTTATTATTGTTATTTTTTTTTTATTTTTGTAATTGTTTTTCTTTTTGCTTTGCAAATAAAATCGAGGTTCTCTTGTAATTCAGTTCCTTTTATTACTTAGATCATGTGTCAATGATAAATTTATATTGAAGGCGAACTTTACTTAATAGGCCATTATGTCAGTATTTCAGAATGAAATGTTGAATGTATTTGGAACTTCTCTTTTTCAACATTCCGACAGCTCTTGCATATGGGGTATATATGTCCAAGCTGAAACGATATTTCAGGAAAACAACACTTTATAATTTCATGCGTCCGAAGTGCGTTTTACTATTTGTAGCCACAATCCAGTATTTTCTCTTTTCCTCGTTTGTGACTTCATCAAGTGCGATTTATAACCAAACGTTCACTTGCCATGTGCACATCCACAGTTTGATCGTGGGTTCTTGCTACTTAATTTGATTAGTGTTTTCATCATTTTTTTTCATCTGAGGAAACAAGTGCAAGTAAAACTGAAAAGGGCATTCCTCTGCCAATAGTATTAGGGCATTGAACAATTTGGTCAAAGTTATAACTCTATTTTAAATTCTAAAAATAACAGGTATTCCATTCGTCACTTGAAGCTAAACTTGTTATCATTATTTATTTTTTTATTTTTGTAATTGTCCTCCCAGTCTATATTGATAAACAGAAACTCATACATTAACTATGTAGACATGATGAACACTTTCCTAAGGAGTGCGAAATGTAAAAGTATCTTTGACATTTGTACAGACTGGTTTATGAGCATACGTGTATTGTAAGCAGTCCTGCTTATCTAAGCTTGGGAATAGCAATATATTCTTGCAATGTATTGAAATTGAAGCTATTAAATCATATCATTAAACAATACTTATTTCTCATTCAGCACTTTATTGAGCACGATACATAAAAAATGGGTTTATGAACACTGGTGTCACATCTATCTTCAAAGACACAAATGTTGCTTAACATTTGTCCTACCTCAATAACAAATATGGTGTTTCCTTGCAGACAAAACCACAAACAATATAGTTTTGTTTGTAGATTTTATTATATTAACTGCTTGATAAAGGAATTAGGTGTTGACAATTTGCAATAGAAACCCGACATATACTCCTACGACCCATCAAATTTGAATACCAAAATG